GTGTTTTGGCTCTCACTTCTTTAGGATATATACCTAGCAATGGGATTGCTGGATCAAATGGTATTTCTATTTCTAACTTTTAAAGAAATCACCATAGTTATTTCCACAGTGGCTGTATCATTTTACAGTCCCACCAGCAGTGTATGAGAGTCCCGGTCTCCCCACACCCTTGCCAGCCTTTGTTATTTTCTGTGTTGTTAAACTTTGCTATTATTGCTGGGGCAAGATAGTATCTCATTGTTGTTTTGATAGAGATACCACCTTGGAAACCCAAGGAGGGGAGGGGTCACTATGAGTCAAATCAACTCCATGGCAGTGAGTTTGGTTTTTTGGAATGGCTAATGATCACGAGCATTTCTTCATGTAATTGCTGGCCACCTGAATATCTTCCTTGGTGAAGTGTCTATTCATGTCTTCTGCTCATTTTTTAATTGTATTGTTTGTCTTTGTTATGTTGAGGTGTTAAGAGTTGTCTATAAATTTTAAAGATAATTCCCTTGACAGGTATGTCATTGCTGAATATATTTTCTCAATCTGTGTGCCCTCTTTTTACACTTTTGGAGCAGTTTTTTGAAGCACATAAAATTTTAATTTTTAGAAAGCCCAATCATCTAGTTTATCTTCTGCTGTTTGTGCATTTTGTGTTATGCTTGAGAATCTATTTATGCCATAAATTAAGGCCCCTAAGTTTACCCCTCCATCACTTGTTTATCAGTTTGTTGTGCTGCAGTGGCTTGGATGTTGCTGTGAGGCTGGAGGCTATGCCATTGGTATTTCAAATATGAGCAAGGTCACCCATCATGGACAGGTTTCAGCGGAGCTCCCAGACTAAGACAGACTTGGAAGAAGAAAGGGGCCATCTACTTCTCAAAGAATTGGCCAGTAAAAACCTTATGAATAGCAGTGAAACACTGTCTGATATATTTCTGGAAAATTGTACGAATAGCCCTGAAGCATTGTCCGACATAGTGCCAGAAGATGAGCCCCTCAGGTCGGAAGGCACTCAAAATATGACTGGGGAAGAGCTGCCTCCTCAAAGTAGACCCTACCTTAATGATGTGGATGGAGTAAAGCTTTCAGGACCTCCATTTGCTGACATGACAAAACTCAAAATGGGAAGAAACAGCTGCAAACATTCTACACAGTAGCTGCTAACAGTGAGCTCAGATTTGGCAAGGATTGTGAGGTTGGTACAAGATTGGGCAGTGCTTCGTTCTGTTGTACATAGGGTTGCTATGAGTTGGAGCTGACTCGACGGCACCTAACAACAACAAGAAGTTTATCCCTATTTTTTCCTTGATGAACTTTATAGTTTCAGGTTTCACATTAAGTCTGATCCATCTGGAGTTAGTTTTTGTGTATAGTATGAAGTATGAATTTTGTTTCAGTTTTCTGCAAATGGATAACCAGTTTTGCTAGCATCATTTGTTAGGAACTTTCTCTTCCCCATGTAATGTATTTCATCCCTTTGTCAAAGAGCAGCTGACCATGGGTCAATGGATCTATTTCTAGATTATCAATTCTGTTCCACTGATCTATGTGTCTGTCATTGTGCCAGTACCAAGCTGTTTTGACTACTGTGGCTGTATAGTAGGTTTTGAGATCCAGGAGTGTGAGACTTCCTACTTTGTTCTTCTTCTTCAATAGCACTTTGCTTGTTTCAGGCCTCTTTCCTTTCCATATAAAATTAGTGATTGATTTTTCCGTATCCTTAAAGAATGAGGAGCTCTGGTAGCGTAGTGCCTAAAGCACTTGACTGCTAACCAGAAGGCTGGCGATTCAAACCCACCAGCCACTCCTCCGAAGGAAGAGGGGGCAATCTACTTCCGTAGTGATACTGCCTCGGAAACCCAAGGAGAGGTCGCTATGAGTTGGATCGACTAGACTAGACTAGAGGCACATAACAACAACAACAACAATAAAGAATGTTGATGGATTCTGGACTGAAATTGCATTGAATGTATAGATTGCTTTGGGTAGTATGCTTGCAAGGTTTTAAGACCCCAGTTGCTACTCACCAAAGTAAGATGTAGAACAGTGACTTGATGTCCCCATGACTGTGGCTCTCAAGTTTAGAGCCAACACTCTTTAATGTCTGTACTGCTTGTGCCTCTCATGATGAGTGAACCCTTATTAAGACCCTACTCAAGACTTTTTGGAACCACACAGCATCAGTGACATCTTTAAAGTGTACTGTTAATATCAGTCCTCTGCTGCAGCCATCCAGTTCTCATCATTGTACCTAGAATTAAATCTTAGCTCATCACCAAGGCCTTCAGGGCCCTGGATGTACCATCCCCACCCTAACCCCACCCCAGTCCTATTCTCTCCTCTCATGGCTTTTTGACTCTTCCTTCTATTCGGTTTGTTCCACTGTCCTAGCCTTCTAGTCATTCCTTCAGAACAGGAAGTTCAGTGCCCTCTTAGGGCTTTTATACATGCTGTTCCTTCTGCCTGGAGTTCTATGCCTAGGTGTTTCCCTGACTGGCCCTTTCACATCTCTCAGGTCTCAGCTCCCATATTACCTCCTCAGGGAGGCCTCTAACTTTCAACCTTAGTAGCCAACACCACCCTGGCTAACCTGTTAGCAGGATCTGAAATGGTTTTTGTTACCTTTTGGTTACATGTCTATGGTATTCTTTCCCACTCAGCTTGAAGTCCCCAGGAACAGGGAGTTTGTCTGTCTTGTTTCTTACCCTTGTTTCAGCACTTGGCACATTGCTGGCCTCAGTTATTTGGCTCTGTGGCATTTAAATTAAATGTTTAAAATCTTTGCTAGTTTGGAGTCATCAGAGGAAGTCAGGCTGGTTTAAGAAAATCTGAATGAAGAGGCTCTTTAGAAGAAGTGGCCTTAATTTCCTGAACAAGTTGAATAGGGTGTTGGTTGATGCCCTTCCCTGAAAGAGCTATTTTAAATGAACAAACAGATAAGAGTGATTTGTGGTAAACATATCACTTGTATATGGGTTTTCAAGGGTGCTAGAAAATTTGTTCTTTCTAGTAGTTTAAATAACTTCCCCTGAAATCTTGTTGACACTGATCCTCCACTGATAAGTTTTCTGATAGCAAAAACAGTGTGGATTTCATCAGTCTTCCTATAAACTTCCACTGTACAAATTCCAACTTAATGACGTCTGCCCCGCCCCCAACATTCTTTCCTGAGTGGTGAATTGAGGAATCCCAGATCCTGTCCACACCCTGGTGTTGAGATAAGAAGCTTTAAAACCATACCAAATCCACCACCATCAAGTCTATTCCAACTCATAGTGACTTTACAGGACAGAGTAGAACTGCCCCCTGGGGTTTCCAAGGCTGTAAATCTTTATGGAAGCAGACCGCCTCATCTTTTCTCCTGCAGAGTAGCTGGGGGTACAAACTGGCTGCTGTGCTTTTAATGACTGTGCCACCAGAGCCCCTTGAAGATGCCTTAGGACAGGATTTCACTACTTAACATCTGCTGAGGACTTAAGAGAGGAGCTCTAGTGGTGCAATGCCTAAGGCATTTGATTGCTAACTAGAAGGCTGGTGGTTCAAACCCACTAGTCACTCCACACGGAAGGAAGACTGCACAATCTACTTCATAAATATTTACTGCCTCAGAAATGCTATGAGTCAGAATTGACTCGATGGCAGCCAGCTTTTTTTTTTGGTTTGGAGGCCTTAGGAAGGAGTCCCCAGCTGGAGCAAACAGTTAAGACACTCGGCTGCTAACAGAAAGATTAGAGGTTCAAATCTACCCATATGGATGCCTCAGAAGAAAGGCCTGGCAACCTACTTCTGAACAGCAGTCAACCATCAATAACCCTATTGAGCACACTTCTACTCTGACACACACAGAGTTGCCATGAGTCGGAGCTGACTCAGCGGCAGCTGGTACTGGGAGGACTTAAAATGTTTGGTATTTTCTGAAGTCTGTAAAAGACCATTAACTTTTAGGTGAATTAGATGTGATATTTCTTTCCAAAGAAGCCTAGGAATATAACTTGCATTACTCTGCCTCAAGAGTTTGTTATTTTCTTTCTTTAATCTAAATACCTGAGTCCACCAAAAGAGTTGTACAAGAATGTTCATAGAAGCTTTATTCATAGTTGCCAGAAAACAGGGAACAACTCAAATGTCCATCAGCAACAGAATGGGTGAACAAACTGACATATTCAAGCAACAGAGGTACTGTACAAGGATTAAAAAAAGGAACAAGTGACCGATACACACAGAAACATAGGTGAACCTTGCAGGCATTGTGTTGAGAAAGGGAAGCCAAGGAGTCCCTGAGTGCCTCAAACTTAAGTGTTCAACTACTAGCCAAAACCTTGTGGGTTCAAACCCACCTAGAGGGGCCTTGGAAGACAGGCCTGGCAATGTGCTTCTGAAGGGTCAGCCTTGGAAACCTTGTGGAGCAGTTGTATGCTGCACACACAGCGTTGACTTGACGGCAGCTAACCATGTACCATATCTGAGTAAAAGAAGCCAAACAGCAAAAGCTACATGCTATGTAATTCCATTTCAGTGATAATAAAGAGCAAACAGAACCAGTCTTTGGTGATGGGTGAGTAGGGGAGAGAGGATTGACTGCGAGGGGATACAGGCAGTCCCCCAGTGATGAACGTCCGACGTACATGCAACTCACAGTTAAACCAATCTGATGTAAAGCCTATTGTATTAAATATCCGAGGCACATACAATGTTTTGTGATAACAAACAGGTGCTACTTTGTGATGTGTATCAAAACATTTAATGCTCCTGACTTTCCTGTGGGGATTTTCATGATTGTCTCTGCTTAAGATGGATGAAACTGTGGCTCAGAGAGGTTAAGCAAAATGCTCAGTGTCACACAGGTGGTAAGTGACAGAGCCAGGATTGATGCTGCACTGTACATATAGGCTTTTAGAACTGCTTGTGGGCCTCCCTTACCAAGTTCATGTTCACATTTCCTGGCTTTGAGTGTTCCTCCCCGCCTCACCCCAAGGTGGTTCTGACCCAGGTGTGTCTTGTCCCCTCAGCATCCCTTTGTCAGCAGCATCACCAATAATAAGGCTCTGAGGGAGCTGGTGGCAGAGGCCAAGGCTGAAGTGATGGAGGAGATCGAAGATGGCCGGGAAGAGGCAGAAGAGGAAGACACGGTGGATGCTACCTCTGTAAGACCAGGAAGAATGGGGGCTGGGGAGGGCAAGCGCCCAGTGCTGGAGTCTGTGGAATTTGAGGAGGCTCAGGAAGGGTGGTTTCTGTCTCTCTCCAGAAGCCCACACCGCAGGTTACATAAACAGGCGTGTGGGCCAGGGTGATGGATGGGCAGGTGTTGGTCAGATCCTAGAAGTTCCAAGAGACACCAGGAATCTAGATTTCTCACATGGAATCTTCTAATTTTTAAAAGGGGGCAGGTAATTCACTTCCAACCTTTTTCACATTGACTCACTGCTAAAGGGGCAGGGAGGTGGCATCTTCTGACCTCCTCTACCTCCATAAGAGGAAGGCAGAATCACCATCAGCAGCCCAAGGCTTGTTCCTATGAGGCCAGACATGCCGCCACCTTCCAGCCCTCTTACTAACCTTGTCACCAGCTGTTCCTCCTACAGCACCCACCACCCCTCTGCTGGATTCAGTAATTCACTGCAGTGGCCACACAGAACTCACAGATTATGGGCTTTATTAGGGAAGCAACAGGCTACAATTCAAGCTCAGGAATGCACTCAGTCTCTCTCAGCTGGGCATCTCTCTCAGCTGGCCGACTCTCTCAGTCTCTCTCATGAGCATGTCTCTCTCCCTCTCCTTCTCTCTCTTTCTCTCTCTCTCAGCAATGCATCTCCCTCTCATCTCTCTCAGCAGTGCATCTCTTTCAGCAACATGTCTCTTTCAGCAGCACATCTCTCTCAGCTGGCAGTCAGAGAGATTCTCTCTGCCTGTAGTTGAGCTCCTTCTGAGTCTGGCAGAGCAGCAAAACTAACCAATCCCAACATCAGAATTCTACACACCTGAGAGAGAGTGACTTGCTGGAAGATGACTTTGTGCTGCCACAGGTGGATGACTTTAATAATCAGCTACTCAGTTGCAAAGTGGGAGTTACAAATACTATGGCTAGAAAAGCCATACCTTGTAATTTACTGCATCACGCTCACATACAAAAGGAGACTGTTTTTCAGCACATTGGGATAAATGAAAAGAAGCCACATGGAGTCAGAGGCTGCAGGCCAAAGGGCTTTGCTACCTCAGACCCTGTTTGCCTGCTCTGAGGGCCAAAGGGACCCTGTCTTAGCATATTTGTAACCCATTAGCAGCTACAGCACTTGCTGAGCATCTGTGAGCTAATTTAAATTAAAAATAAATAAATAAATAAGCAGAGTACCTCAGTGGGCCTGACTCTGTCCTAAATGGCTGCTTTTCAATGTTTGGTCTAGCTGCTTGGGGAGAGCTCCTTGGCTAGGACCTAGTGAAGCAGGGGCTGGACTTGCCCACATTGTTGTCCATGCAGGCCCATGCAATGGCTTCCTGGAGTTGCATGCAGTCATGAGAGCAGCGTGAGGCTGGTACAAATCCTCACAAGGGTAAAGAAAAGAATCTTAGGGGAGAACAAGCAAATTAGTATAATAACCACAACTATTTCTGATTGGCTCCAGAGTGAGTGCTGGGCAGTCAGCCTTCTGCAGCCTACAACAGAGAGGAACCAAGGCTCCATTTTACAGATGGGAAAACTGAGAACTGAGAAGTGAAGTGGCTGGCTGAGCAGATAGGTAGCAGGGCTGGGTGTAGGTGAGGAATAGAGAATCAGGGTGGGAGAGGGAGACAGCTTTCCAGGGCCTGGTTCTAGGAGAAAGTGGCAGGCAGAGGGGCTGGGGAGGGAGGGAAAAAGTGGTCACTATGGCCTGGATCTCCACGGGCAGGAGGCTGATTTTCGTGAGGGCAGTGGGGACCATTGAAGGGTATCAGGCAGGGGCTGGGTGTTGGTTGAGGGCCATGGCAGATCAGATCTAAATTTTAGAACCATTTCTCTGGGTGCTGAAGAGTAAGTAGATTGGAATTACTTCTAACTACCTTATCCAAGATAAAAAACCAGGGGCTAGAAGGACTCCAAAGAGTGCTGACAGTGTGATTCCATGTATATGAAGTTTAAAAACAGATAAAATTAACCTGTGGCACTTGGTTGCCATTGAGTCGACTCCAGGTCATCACAGTCCCATGTATGTCAGAGGGTTGTCAATGGCTGATTTTTTTGAACAACAACATAGCACTTAGCGATTGAACCTAGATGCAAAGGCATGTGGAGGAGAGGAAGGGGGCTGTCACTGGGAAAGGAGTGGGCAAGACCTCTGAGCAGTGGCCGGCTCCATGCCTGACCTACAAGTGGGTTCTCACTTTATTCTTTAAGCTGGACATTTCTGTTTCATCCACAGAATTGGGTATTCTGTTTCACCCTAGCAATGTTTCCAGTACTCTTTACCCCCAAAAGCTCTGTCAAACAAACAAACAAAAAAACCTCAAAACTTTGTACCTGGCACATTGAATCCAACCCCCAGATAAGTTGTGTTTGGCTTTTATACAATTTTTAAGCCTTTTGAATTAGTTGCCAAGTAAAAATCTGGAGATGTCAGTAAAAATCCACATTTTCCTTTTCTCTTGAAATGTTGGAAGACGTGGCCACAACACTCAAAAGTTTCCTGCATTGTCACAATTGGCTGGAGCAGAGTAGCCACTGCCCCCTTAGATGGGGCATTCACCTCCACTCCTAGAAGAAACACAACCAACCAATTAACCAATGGTTGTTGAATCAACTCTGACTAATGGTGACCCCATGTGTGTCAGAGTGGAACTATGCTCCATAGGGTTTCCAGTGGCAGATTTTTCAGAAGTAGATTGCCAGGCCTTTCTTCTGAAGTATCTCTGGGTGGGTTTGAACAGCTAACCTTTTAGTTAGCTGCTGAGCATGTTACCATTTGCAATACCCAAAGACTCCTCCTAATAGGAATAATAGCTATTAAATGAAGCTAAGGTTAGAGACAACAAGATTCCTATTCCTTAAAACAGGTGGTAATTTTATTGTTGGTTGGGCATTAGGGATTGGTGAGGACTATGGCTTACTGGGGACTTTTACCTATTTTACTCCCTGGCCCTGATCCATGTCACCTTGTTGGGGTCTGACTTTCCAACCCTCCTGTGTCTCTGACTTTCCTTGGACATGGAGCAGTACAGCAGTATGGCTTTAACTGTCCTTTTTTTGTTTTTACCCTAGTCTCTAGGGAACCACACTCAGGATTCTTCTGAGGTGAGTCAGCTGAGCCTCAATGCTGACAAACCACTCAAGGAATCATCTTCCAACCCGCCAACACAAAGCCAGACTCAGGACAGTGTGAATGGGCCCTGCAGCCAGCCCTGTGAGGACAGATCCCTCCAAACCACTAGCCCCCCAGATGTGGCCCCTGGAAATGAGAATGGCCTACCTGCACCCCTCCGGAAGTCCCGGCCGGTGTCAATGGATGCCAGGATTCAGATAGACAAGGAGAAACAAAGCACTGACTGGGGGGACCTCAGTCCAGCAGCCAACAGGTCCCCAAAGCCAAGCCAAAGCCGGCCTAACAGCAGTGCTCTGGAGACCTTGGGAGATGAGAAGCTGGCCAATGGTAGGCTGGAACCCACTTCCCAGGCAGCTCCAGGCCCATCCAAGAGGGACTCAGATTATGGCAGCCTGTCCACCTCTGAGAGCATGGACTACAATACCTCCCTCTCTGCTGACCTGTCCCTGAACAGAGAGACAGGCTCTCTGTCCATTAAGGTAACTCCACCTCTCGCACTAGAGCCTTGGAGTAGGATTGCTGTAGGATGTTTTACTGCCCAGCTTTGGTTTTAGAAAGTATTTAGCAGCTGTTTCCCATTTGAAGTGGCTCATGAAGAATTGCCTTTTTTTTAAGGAACTTGTAGTTCAGTTCATAGAGGGGACAGTGGTGATTCAGTGGTAGAATTCTTGCCTTCCACGTAGGAGACCTGGGTTCGATCCCCAGTGTACCTGATGTGTAGCCACCACCCATCTGTCATTGGAGGCTTATGTGTTCCTGTGATGCTGAACAAGCTTCAGCTGAGCTTCCAGATTCCAAAACAAACCAAACTCACTGCCATCGAGACAGTTCCAACTCATAGCAATCCCTATTGGGTTTCCAAGGCTATAAATCTTTATGGAAGTAGGTGACCCCATCTTCCTTCCATGGAGCAGCTGGTGGATTTGAACCACTGACTTTCTGGTTAGCAGCCAAGTACCTTATCTACTATGCCACCAGAGCTTCCAGATGGACTAATACTTCCAAAGATGGACTAAAAGAAAGGCTTGATGATCTACTTCCAAAAATTCAGCCAATGAAAACCCTGGGGATCACGGTGGTCTAATCCCATTGTTCGAGGGGTTGCCATGAGTCAGGGGCCAACTTGAGGGCAGCTAACATCAACAGTTTGATTCATAGTTTCATCTCCAAAGTATTGGGGTTCAATTTGGGGTTTAGTAATGCCAAGCAGTTGGTTTGGCTTTCAATTTCAAACTTTGATTAAAGGCCTTGGTAATACCAGGAGAGAGAATTCTGAAAGTGGAAGTTCTTTTCTACAGACCTTTCAGGGGTCATACTATGGGGTCAACCAAGTGGTTCAGGAGATGACTGATAGATTCAATGAAAAGAAAGGGCTCATGGCTTTTTTCCTTGGCTTAGTGGTCTTTCTGGAGGTGGATAACATTGTGGATGACAATAGTTACTGTGCCTGAGGGGTCAGCCTGAGACAAACACTGTTAGGTGCTTCATTATCCCAATTTACAGATGCAGGAACTGATGCTTAGTGAAACTGGGAGCTGGACCATAGAAGGAGAAAGTGAAGGAGCTGATCAGACCCCAACTCCATGCTCTCAGCTCTACTTGCCTTCCTAGTGGAAGCTATGGCCTCCTTCTCCTCCATTGGCTGTAATGGGCTGACTCCTTCTCCTACCCACTTCATTACATTCTAGAATGTTCCTAAAATCACCATTGGCCACCTGACTGTGGCTATGTTGAGGTCTCACTCCTCAGCCAGGGCTGATTTTAGAGAAAGTACTATATAACTTCTTCTCCTATCCCTCATTGTTTTTAGCAGTGAAAACCACACAGTAGATCCTCAAACAATGTGTGCCTAATGAAAGGGAGAGAAAGAAGAAGCAGCCTGCTAGCCCATCAATGAGTTTCGGGAACCCAAGTTCCACAGGTCACTAGGACAAGTATGGACAGCACCTCTTAATGTATAGGCAGCATTGGGGCCCAGCAGCTTCCCAGGGACAGACGTCTTATCCCTTCTCTTCTTGAAAAGACTCTAAAGGTAGTGAGGGAGTACTGCCCAAGCCATCTCAAGACTACATGTGCCTGCCAAACGCATCCTGACAGGACTCCTGATGGTAGCAACTTCCTGGACCCAAAGTGCCCACCACTCAGGCAGTGTCGCAAATCAAGTCGGCCCTTCTTACGGCCCAGGTCAGATGAGAATGTTCTCCCTTTACCAAGTCCCAACTTCCTGTCCCAGGATCTGTCTTTTTCTGATTTAATTATCAAGACAATTCCCTTCCAAGAAAACCCCATTCTGTGTCCTCAGGGGAATGACCTTGCCCCACAGACCCAACACCAAAACCACCTCAAGGCCTCCACCAACAATTGCCATGGAGTCGGTTCTGACCCATGGCGACCCCGTGTGTGTCAGAGTAGAACCGTGCTCCACGGGGTTTTCAACGTTGATTTTTAGAAAGTGCATCTTCAGGTCTTTCTTCCCAGGAGCATCTGGGTGGACTTGAACCTCCAGTCTGTCCGTTAGCAGCGGAGCACATTAGCCATTTGCACTACTCAGGAACTCCCACCTTAAGATACAATAGTATAATCCCCAAACCTTGATTATTCTCTTGTAAATCACACAACGAATAATGCACCAATGTACAGTTTGTTGAATTTCCATAAGATTCATCCATTTCTCTTTTAGTTTAGTTCCTCCAGTCTAAAAACATCCCATCTTGAACTGAGTTGTAGGATGTGTGAAGTGGTATGATAGGAAGGTGAGAGTCAGGCTGACAGCCCTGTTACCAGGGTGTCCTGGGCGAGGTGCTGTGGGATGAGGTGGAAATGTGTAAATGTAAAAAAAAAAATAAAGGTAATTTTTCCCTTTTTCTTCCTGTACTCAAGGCTACACCACCTCCAGCAGGGTGTTGGCAACATTCTTGCGCTAGCTGACCTGCAGTGAATTGGGCTGTGCTGATAAGACTCCCCCAGCTGCATCAGCACCTTGGCCTGAAGTAGGAGCCTATTCCTCAGGGATGAGGCCCCGTGATCAGGAGGGGTTGTGTTCTGAGGGCTGCTGCCGGGGCCTCTTTTTTCCCCTTCATTCTCTACTGCCAGCTTACATTTCTCCTTGATCATTTGACCCATCTTTTTTTTGACAGTCTCCTAGTCTTTTATTTATTCATTCATTCATTCATTTTCCATACAGCAGTTCATACACATTTTGTTTTATGACATTGACTGCAATCCCCACAGTGTAACAGCTCTCATCCCACTTTCTCCCTGTAGTAACCTCTTCCCTGTCTCCTTTCCTGTGCATTCCTGCCCCCTGAGCTATCTCCCTGTGCAGATACTGCCCTTCTATTCTCCCGTGATTGATTGTTCTAAGGAGTGTGTCTTCCTGGTGTGAATGTTCACCCTCTATTCCTCTCTGTTGTTTGGCTGGAAGTTGATTTCAGACCTGAAGAGTAGCCAGGGGCCATAGTGTCAGGGGTCTCAGCAGGCTCTATCAGACCAGTAAACGTGGTCTTTTTTTATGATTTTGAGTTTTGTTCCACATTGTTCTCCCACTCTATCCAGTGTTTGACCCTCTTGAGCTGAGTCCTAGGACATGTGAATTGAGTACAATGGGGAGATGAGAGTCAGACATGATAGCTGTGTTCCCAGGGTGTCTGGGCAAGGTGCTAGGGGAGGTGGCAAAAGCATGTAGGGATGTGGCAAAGTGAGAACTGTGGGCTTGTCTCTACTGAGTGAGAATCAAGGTCAGAGAAAATTTGAGGGTACAGAGACCGGCTGCCTACAGCCACTTTGGCCGACTCTCTCCTCTCTCAGTAACACAGAGCTGGGCTCTACCAGGAGGAGCCTTGGAAGTCAGCCAATGGGTCAGGTACAAAGGACTGAAGGGGAATGCAATGATGAGACCACTGTAGGCCACGTGTCCTCACCCAAATCAGAATCCAGAATTTAAAGGCCCCATAGATTATCTCACACCTCCAGGCATCCAGGTATCACTTCGTAAGCACCCACATGTGCAATGCATGATTATTTGTAGTCAAAGGTAAAAATAATGAGTAATCCTATGGCAGTTCCAGATAGGAGTTCAGGTCAGGTCAGGGTTCCTGCCAAATCAGTTACAAAACAACTCTTGGTTTTTCACATTGGATTTTTGGCATGGCTGCAAGAGATTCTGGTTCTGTAATGATAGCCATCAGGAATGACACTTGCCGTGAGCCAGGTGCTACACCATGTGACCTCCAAGCATTATCTCATTGACTTGTCATAACCATCCTATGAGGCAAATACTATTATTATCCTCATTTGACAGATTTTAGGAAACTGAGGCTCAGACAGGACAAGGAACTTGCCCAAGTCACAGAGTGAATAAGTGGTAGAGTCAGGATTAGAACCCAGCCTGCATGTGTGGGGTGCTGGCAGCAAGGTAGGGAGGCATCAGGGCAGTATTTGGAGGCCAAGGTCAGGGAGAGGAAAGGGGGTACCCTCAATCACTCAGGCTCTCAGATTGAGAAGCTTAAGGCAAGAAGGGGACAATGGACAGCCACATCCTTCCTGGGCTGGACCGAGTCTGTGGCCAGGAAGGCTGCAGAGGGCATCTCCCTATATCAGCTGTGGATTCTTAGTTGAGATGCTGAGCTTCGCCTAATGATTTTTCCTGGACAGGACTCAAGGCTGCACAATAAGACCCTCAAGCGGACACGCAAGTTTGTGGTGGACGGTGTGGAGGTGAGCATCACCACCTCTAAGATCATCAGTGAAGATGAGAAGAAGGATGAGGAGATGAGATTTCTCAGGTAAGTCTGGGAAGCACCACCAGGGATGACAGTGGGGTGAAGTTATCGTATGCAAGATGAGCATAAGGGCCTTCTGTCTGCAGCATAAAATAGGAGATCAAGGAGACAAAAGGAAATGGGTTTGACTGAGATTCTGTACATCTCTATTCATCTATCCATCCCTCCATCCATTCATCTGTCCACCCATGCATCTACTCATCTAACCATCTGTTCATCCATGCATCTACTCATCCATTCATCCATCCATTCATCCACCCATCCAGTTGTCCTCCTGCTCATGCATCTATCTGTCCATCCCAAACATAAACATTGACTAAGTCCCCATGACAGCACAAGCATCACGCTGGGGTTGGGGAATAGGCAATGACCCAGACAGATAAGACTGTTGCCCTTGTAGAACTTATGCCTGATGGGCCAATGCACACCACACAAGATAATTTCCGATTGTGGCATATGCTGGGAGGGTAATGAATGGGTGATATGATAGCAAGTACCTGGGTTTGAGGGGTGTGCTGCTCTGAGGGAAACCCTCTGAGCTGAGCCTGAAGGGTGAGGCGAGCAGTTCTGTGCTCAGAGCTGGGAGCACAGAGGGAACTACAGTTGTTGAGGCTCTGAGGAGTGACTCTTGGCTTGTTCAAGGCACTGAAAAGATGGCTGGAGTGTAAGAGTCAGAGGGAGACAGTAGGGGATCTGGTCAGCAAGGTTGGCAGGGTCCAAATCATGTAGGCCTGTGGGCTCTGATGAAAGAGTGTGGCTTTTATTCCAGGTGCAGTGGGAGGGTAACAGCTGGAGAGTGACCAGGTCTGAGGACCCTTTTTAAAGATGGCTTTGACTGCTGTGTGAACCAGGGCTATAGAGTGGGCAAGACTAGGAGCAGGGAGACCAGGAGTTTGGACCCTCTTCTAGGAGTCAGGCTGTGGGCTTGGGCCATGGAAATGGGGAGGAGTGATTGGATTCGACATACATTTTGGAGGCAAAACTAATGAGCCATGCCAAGGGATTAGATTAGGCAGGAAGGTATTCGGCAGAACCTACAAGCCAGGGACTGTGCTTTGCACTTTTCAGTAGCTATTTGTTTCTAATAGCTCTCCTTGTTGTTAACTGCTGCTGAGTCAAGCCCCACTCATAGTGACCTCACACATAATAGGACCAGACCCTTGTGGTCCATTGGGTTTTCATGAGCTGATTTTCTGAAGTAGATGGCCAAGCTTTTCTTCCTGGTCCTTCTTAGTCTGGAAGCTCCACTGAAACCTACTCAGCATCACAGCAACACACACGCCTTCACTGGCAGTTGGGTGGTGGCTGCAAATGAGGTGCATTGGCTGGAAATTGAACCCAAATCTCCCACATGGAAGGTGAGAGTTCTACCACAGAACTACCACTGCCCTCCTACAAACAAACAAACAGAAAAACAGTTGCTGGTGAGGCGAGTCTTATTCATGGATACCCATGTGTGTCAGGGTAGAATTATGCTCCATAGAGTTTTTAGTGGCTGATTTTTCAGAAGTAGGTCACAGGGCCTTTATTGAAAGGTACTCCTCGTGGACTCGAACCTCCAACCTTTTGGTTTGCAGCCAACTGCTTAACAGTTTGCATCACTCAGGGACTTGTTAACAGCCCTCCTTAGGGAGATCTTATTTCTACCATTTTGTAAATGAGGAAACTATTTCTTGGCAGTTAAGTTACTTGCCCCAAATCACCTAGTTGGGAAGGGGTAGAGTTGAGATTATAATTGCATGTATTAGTCTCCTGTGGCTGCTACAACAGATTACTACAAACTTGGTGGCTTAGAACAACAGAAATTCATTCTCTCACAATTCTGGAGTCCAAAATCCAAAACCAAATCCACTGCCATCGAGTTGAGTTGATTTGATTCTGACTCATAGTGACCCTAAAGGACAGAGTGGAATTGTGGCATAGGGTTTCCAAAGCTATAAATCTTTACAGAAGACTGTCTCATCTTTCTCCCATGGAGCAGCTGGTATGTTCAAACTGCCCACCTTTTGGTTAGCAGCCAAATGCTTTAACCACTATGCCACCAGAACTCCTTTTCTGGAGACCAGAAGTCTAAAATCAAGGTGTGACCAGGGCTGCTGTCCTTCTAGAATTTTTAGGGGTAGAATCCTACCTTGCCTCTTCCAGCTTCTGATGTTGTTGTTGTTATGTAGTGTAAAGTGAGACCCGACTCATAGTGACCCCTCCTTGGGTTTCCGAGGCAGTATCACGGTGGAAGTAGATTGCCCAACTTCCTTCCGAGGAGTGGCTGGTGGGTTTGAACCACCGGCCTTCTGGTTAGCAGTCAAGTGCCTTATGCACCACGCTACCAGAGCACCTCAACTTCTGATGGCTCCTGGCATTTCTTGCCTTTTGGCCACATCACTCCAGTCTCACATGACCTTCTCCTATGTCTGTCTTCTCCTGTGTGTCTCTTACAAGGACACTTGTCATAGGGCTTCAGGCCCACCCAAATAATCTGAGATGATCCCATTTCGAAATCCTTCATTACATCTGCTAAGACCCCTTTTCAGATAAGGTCACATCTCAGGTTCTGGGCCTTATGAAGTGGATGTAGCTTTTGGTTGCCACCATTCACTGCACAACAGCACACCTGTCTGTGTGAGAATTTCCCTGAATGTCTCCCAGACTAGGTGCTTCCTGGGGGCAGCAGGGGAGGGTGTACTGGTCAGTGAGGCTGAGGAACAACCCAGCTCTACTGGGTCCAGGCCTCTGTGGGGTAAATTCATGATTGGTTTGGAGCAAATTTCTAGAACATCACACACATTCATATTTTAAAAAAGCATAAACTCAGAAAGAAGGAAGAATGGAAATGGGCACCCAGGGAGGAAGTGGGAAGTGTGCTGTAACAGGGAGGGATTGCAACTAATGTCACGAAACAAAATGTGTATCAATTGTTGAGTGGAAAACCAATTTGCTCTGTAAATTTTCACTTAAACCACAATAAAATGTTCGATAAGTAAATAAATAATAAAAAGCACAAATATTCCAAAGCAGTTTAGGATGCTGTGGAGCGCTTCTTCTCACTCGAGGCCAGAAGGATGAGAGCAGACTTTTTCATAGTTAGTGTTCCTGCATGCACACACACATACCCACTCTGGTGTCCTCATCTGCTGAGGGTTGGGGAGGCTGGGCAGGGCTTACTGTTGCCCGGTGACTCCACCTGCTGGTTTAACAGTCACCTGGGAGATGCCCTGGATTCATAAAGCTTCAGACCTCAGGAGCTGGGTTTCTGTTGTCTCCCCTGTGGACACTACAGGTTCTAGGGTTGAAATTCCAGATTCCCACACCTCACCTAGAAATGATGCACCTGACCCTGGACCCCTCCCTAAGAGGAGGAGCTGTGTGCTACTTGGGTTGGCAGGGTGAGACCTACCCAGGTGAAAGAGAGGTGCTCAGAAAGAACAAGCCTTTTCTTCTTTGTGTGCCGTGGTCTGGAGGTCAGAGTGTCCTGTAAACCAGGCACCAGGCTGCAGGGCCACAAAGGTTCAGATCATTCCCTGTTGACCCATGCCTCATTAATGCCTGGATCCTAGCATTCCTAGAAGATTGGCTCACATGTGGAGGTTTGAGTCTGCCCAGAAGTGCCTCAGAAGAAAGGCCTGGCAGTCTGCTTCCAAAAAATCATCTGTTGAAAACTCTATAGAATACAGTTCTCTGATGTGCATGGGGTTACCATGAGCTGGGGTTGACTTGAAGGCAAATTTTTTTTGAGGGGGGACCAGGTGGAGGTCACACAGGTTTTTGAACTGTGTGACAGCATGTGTATCCCTGTCCCCAGGTGAAGCTTCTGGGTCAGAGGTTCCCCTGTCCTTCCCTAAACTTGCTTGTGCAGGTTCCTTCTTAAGACATCTTAAGACATTATTCTGCCTCTCTGCCTGCTGCCCTTGTGAGAACCAGGGTGGGTCTGGGAGGTAAGGTTAGAACCTGGCTGCCTGCCCTCTTCTTTGTATATTCCTTGATTTGGTTGTTTATTTGTCAATTTTTGTCTAAACCTTAGTTTCTCTTGAGTTAGGATTTCAATTTTTTTGTTAACACTCACATAAATCGCCCCTGCTTTTCCACTTCCCAGAAAAGCAGAGGCTCAGCTAGAAGCTTCTTGATGGAGAATGTGCTTCTCCAGAGGTGCAGGTAGCCCCAGCCGCCTCCTCATTCTTGGTGTCTTCCAGCTTTTATTTTATCAAGTAGGACACTTTACATGCATCACCACATTTAACCCCCAAAAGACCTGAGAGGTCAAGATCATTGTCCCCGTTTTACAGATGAGGCAGTAAAAAACCAAACCAAACCCATTGCCATCAAGTCGGATCCAACTCATAGCAACTCCTCCTTAGGTTTCCTAGGTGGTATCACTACAGAAGTAGATTGCCAACCTTCCTTCCGAGGAGTGGCTGGTGGGTTTGAACCGCCAGACTTCTGGTTAGCAGTCAGATGCCTTAAGCACTGCGCCACCAGAGCTCCTGATGAGGCAATGGAGGTCCACAAAGATTGGGTGACCGCCCAAGGCCTACAATTGGAAAGTTGACAGAGCTAAGATCCAAACAAGGCTCCCTCAGATCCCAGAGAGTATGCCTGGCCTCTCCTTGTGTAGGTAGTTCCTTAGTCCTCAGTGGCATCTTTGCTTTTTACACTTTAAAGAGGCCTTCTGCAACAAATTTGCCCAGTGCAATGTATCATTTAATTTCTTGACTGCTGCTTCCCTGGACGTTGATGTGGATCCAAGTCAAATGAAACCCTCAGCAATTTCAATATTTTCTCTATTTATCTTTGAAGTGTTAAAATGCAAAGGTATCACTTTGAGGACTAAACTATGCCTGACCCAAGCCACGGTATTTTCAGTTACCTCATATGCGTGTTAAAGCTGGACAATGAATGAGGAAGACTGAAGAATTGATGCCTTTGAATTATGGTGTTGGCAAAGAATATTAAATATACCATAGACTGCCAGAAGAATGAATAAATCTGTCTAGGAAGAAGTACAGCCAGAATGCTCCTTAGAAGTGAGGGTGACAAGACTTTGTCTCACGTTCTTTGGACATGTTATTAGGAGAGATCAGTCCCTGGAGAAGGACGTCATGTTTGGTAAAGTAAGAGGGTCAGCGAAAAAGAAGAAGACCTTCAACAAGATGGATTGACACAGCAGCTGCAACGATGGGCTCAGATACAACAGTGATTGTGAGGATGGCACAGAACTGGGCAATGTTTTGTTCTGTTGTACGTGGGGTCACTATGAGTCGGAACTAACTCTACAGCACCTAACAGTAAATTGTGATGTTGTTTATTGGTCTAGTTGTAAAGATTTTTGCTTTTTTTATGTTGAGATGTAATCTACATTGAAGGTTGTAGTCTTTGCTCTTCATCAGTAAATGCTTCAAATGCACTTGCTTTTAGCAGGCAAGGTTGTGTCATCTGCATATTGCAGATTGTTAACAAGTCTTCCTCCATTCCCGATGCCACATCCTTCTTCGTACAGTCCAGCCTTCTCAGATAATTTGCTCAGCATACAGATTGAATAAGTATGGTAAAAAGATACTGATTACATAAATGATGCCTATTATTTTCTTTTTTTTAAAAAAAATCTCTCTTGTGATCTGGGTGGCATATTAGTTTTTAATGGAACTTCCCTGAAGATAAATATTTAAACTTTGGGGTTATGCTGCCAGTATTTTTTCGATGAGTGCAAGATTAAGGTGGTTTTATAAAATTAGTCTAGTGTGTGGTATAGGTCAAATTTGTGTGTGTGTGTGTGTGTGTGTGTTTTAAGGTAATATAATATCATGGTCTAAAATTCCAAAAATGGGAGAAGGTGAAGAGTGAAAACTCTCCCTCCCTCCTTTTCCTGCCAGCCAGCCACTTCCCCTCCCTGAGGTTATATTGTGGTGTATATCCTTCCATAGATACTTGAAAGTGCACATACATACACAGTGCACACACATTTATTGCCCATTTTGTGTTTTACACATATGGTGGGTAGAAATTTAGACACTCTAACATCTTGCTTTTTTCACTAAGAGATTAGTAAAGGGGCATGGAGGTGGCATCTTCTGACCTCCTCTAACTTCACAAGAGGAAGATAGAATCACCATCAGCAGCCCAAGGCCTGTTCCTATGAGGCCAGACATGCTGCCACCCTCCAACCAGCCCTCTTACCAACCTTGACACCAACCATCCCTCCCATAGCACCCTCTACCTCTTTGCTGGGTTTGATAATTTGCTGCAGTGGCCACACAGAACTCACAGATTACAGGGTTTATTAGGGAAGCAACAGACTACAATTCAAATTCAGGACATGCTCAGGATACAGTTCTTTGATCTGGACAGTCTCCCCTCTGCTGTGTCCTTAGATATGCCTCTCTGGCCCTTGGCCTCTTGACCTGGCCTCTGCCTCTGTGGGCCAGGTAAGCCTGACACTCCATCTCATGCCACCTTGGTACCACTGCCACCATCTCTCAACCAGGCGTCTCTCTCAGCCAGCAATTGAGATTCCCCTCTGCCTCTAGGAAGGCTCATTTTAAGCCTGACAGAGTGGCAAAACTAACCAATCTGAACTTCAGAGTTTACACACCTGAGAGAGAGCAAACTTGCCCAGAAGATTACTTTGTGCTGCTCCAACAGAAATACCCAAAGTGGATGACTTTAGCAATCAGGAGTTTAAAAGCAGCTACTTAGTTGCTCACAGTAAATTCCACCGTGGAGTTAATTGCTGGTCTCATTATACGGAATAACTACTACCAGCTTCCCAGCCAAGTTGACACTTATTTGCATGGTCCCACCCAGTCATCCAGCGGGAGTTGCAGAAACTATGGCTAGAAAAGCCATACTAAGTAATTCACTACACTGCAGAGATCATTCTATATCTGTTCATAAAGAGTTGTGTTTTTAATAGATGTTTTCCCAATGTAATTAAACATTTTCCTAAGACTTGATGTTTTAAAATAATTCATTGTATTTATTTTTGATGTTGTTAAAAACAACAGAACATACACCAATTCAACAGTTCCTGCACGTGCGTTTCAGCGGCATGGATTACATTCTTTGACTTGTGCATCCACTCTCATCCTCCTTTTCTGAATTGTTCCTCTGCCATTCACATAAACTCACCACCTCTTAAGGTTGCTATCTAACATTTCCGACTTGCTGTTGCCAAATTGATCCCACACGGATAGTCCAAGACTTGATTTGCAGTGGTTGTACAGAATTCCATCATACGGATATATTTGAATTTCTTTAATTATAGTGATGGACATGTAAGTTGTTTCTGATTTCTTAAAATAATGTTGTCATAAACATCCTTATTCAGTTGGGTTGTTCATCTCTGAATATTTCTTCAGATTCAGTATCCGGAAGTGGAACTACTATGTCAAAAGGCATGAACATATTGCTGAATTGTCCTGCAGAGATGGTCTACCAATTTATACCTGTCAGCAGTATATGAAAGTGTCACTTTCCACTATAATCTTGCTTATTTAGTTAAGGAGCTCCGGTGGTGCAGTGCCTAAGGCATTTGACTGCTACCCAGAAGGTGGGTGTTCAAACCCACCATCTACCCACTCGGCAACCCAAGGAAGGGTCGCTATGAGTTGGGACCGACTCGGCGGCACACAACAACAACAACAGCAACCCATCAGTAGATGGGGCAATCTACTTTCATAAAGATTTACTGCCTTGGAATCCTGACGAGGTTCTCTATGAGTCGGAATCTACTCAGTGGCAGTGGGTTTGGGTTTGTTTTGGGGCATTTTGTTAAAGAAAATGTTTATTTCTTTTTAATTTTGCATTTTATATCCTTATAAGTCATTAAAAAAATTTTTTTCTGTCTTTTGTTTCATGTCTGTGTTCTAAACTACTCTCTTATTAGGGTGTTCTTGTTTGTCTAATTGAATTGCAAGTACTCTTTATGTATTAAGATTATTAATGTTTTGTCTGTCACTAAATGTCAAATGACACCTTAGTTCTAGTTGCCCTCTTCCCATCTCGTGTAATACTTCTTCATGCTCCAGTGCTTAGTCTCCCTAGTTGTGAGTTATGTGATCTTTGAGACCACTTTCTGGTTGTGAAATACCTAACATCTTTTAACCGTTCAGGCGTCAGGAACTCCGTGAGCTCCGGCTGCTGCAGAAGGAAGAACATCGGAACCAGACCCAGCTGAGCAGCAAGCATGAACTACAGCTAGAGCAGATGCAAAAACGTTTTGAACAAGAGATCAATGTGAGTGGGAAAAGATGGGTCCTCCAGGGTTTCTTGCCTCTATTTTTTTTTTTTTAAGTAGGTGCTTCAGAATGGGGATAATTGGGCAGTGGAGAGTGATTTAGGAGTTGCCCAATTCCTGTGGTTTTGAAATCTCATTAAGCATTGACTTGTAAACAGAAAATCACATGAAGGTCACAGTGATCCTCTGAGTCACATAGGAGGTTCTTCTAGAAGAGAAATAACATTTTATTGAATACCACACAACAACTCTGCAAGGGAGATGGTCTGGTCTCCCTTTAGCAAATGAGGAAATTGAGATGCAACTCAAAGAGGTTAAGTCATTTGACCCAGGTCACACAACAAAGAAGTCGTGGAGTTGGGACTCAAACCCAAGTCTAAGCAGGCTTTGGGCTCTCCCCCATCTCCCTCCCAAGTATAAAGTAACTGCTGAATTTCTCTTTCTCTTCCTTCCAGGCCAAGAAGAAATTCTTTGATACTGAGCTGGAGAACCTGGAACGGCAGCAAAAGCAGCAGGTAGAGAAGATGGAGCAAGACCATGGTGTGCGCCGCCGGGAGGAGGCCAAGCGGATCCGCCTGGAACAGGAACGGGACTATGCCAGGTTCCAGGAACAGCTCAAACTGATGAAGAAGGAGGTGAATATGTGCTGGGCTGAGGCAGGGGGGCTAAGAGTATCAGGACTCTCTCATTTGCAAGTAATAGCAACCCCAGCAAAACCTCATATTAACAATGGGGAGTTTGGGGGAGGTTGTATAATGGTAAAGCTAAGTTCAGGACTCACCTTTCCTGTGTTGACTTCACTCTTAGTAAGCCTTGCCATGTGGTCTCTGGCAGCTGCCTTTGCATCCTCCCCGCTTAGCAGCACCAGCTGAAAGGGGCAAGAAAGAAGGAAGAGGAGGTGGCCCAGGGAGATTTGCAGTGCTGTTAACTAGAAGAGGAGTGAGTGCTGGGTATGAAAACACAGCAAGTCCTCTTCCTGCTACTCCCTCTTCTCCCAGAGAAGCCGTCCCGTGCTGGGGATCCACACACCTCTTCTTTCTCTGTCCCCTCCCAGCTGAAAGAGACAGGGGAACGAGGCACAGTCTTTGCCTGCTCTGGGAAAGGGCATGTGGGTCCCAGAGAACAGCCCAGAACCCAAAGGCCAGACCATGGTTTCCATCCTAGACTCTCAGGAGAAAGGAGACCGACAGAGGACTGGGGAAGCCCCAGGGCAGGAGCACCAATCCAGTTGTTTCCAATTGCTCCATGTCACTGGTCCATGAACCTCCACCAAGGGTAATCCATCGTACTGGGGCCTTCAGTTAGAGCCCAGCTCCCAGACTTTACCATGATGGGCTTGACGTTTGGTACATCCAATAGGCCTCAAGCAGCTGCCTGTGGGAACCAGGCCCCTGGCCAGATGAGCAGGGCCAGGGCTAGGGGTACAGCAAGCGAGGCACTTGCCTCAGGCACAAAACTTAAAGGGGTGCCAAAAAACTCAGTAATCAAGCTTAATCATATTTTCATACAAAATGGTAAAGCAAAAATTAATGTAAAAAATTCATGATGAATGAATATAAAAATTAAATGAAGACAGTATCTAACAGGGCCGAAATTAGGGGGAAGTGATGAGTTTGAGTCACGCAGGTACTAGGTTGGGTCCTATCTTTGTCATTTTGATATTTTGTGCATCGTAATTTTTTTTTTTTTTTAATTATTGTGGTAAAATATATATTATAAAAGTGGCCATTTTAACTACTTTGAAGTATCCTGTTCAGTGGCGTTAATTTTATTCACAATGTTATGCTACTGTCACCATTATCTGTTTCCAAAATTTTTACCCCAAATGGAAACTCAGTATCTCTAAACAATAACTCCCTATTTTACCCTCCCTCCAGCCCATGGTAACCACTAATCTGCTATCAATATCTATGCATTTGTCTTTTCTAGACATTTCGTGTAAGTGGGATCATGCAATATTTGACCTTTCATGTCTGGCTTATTTCACTCAGCATGTTGTTTTCCAGGTTCATCCATGTCATAACATGTATGAGAACTTCATTCCTTTTTTATGGCTGCCTAATATTCCATTGTATGGATGTACTACATTTTGTTTATCTGTTCATCCATGGATGGACATTGGATTGTTTCCACCTTTTGGTTATTGTGAATAATACTTTAATGAACATTGGTATCCAAGTCTTTATTTAACACTTTGATATTTTGTTCCTTGTGGATTTTTATTATTATTATTCATTTTTATTTCTAAAAATATTACCTTGATTACTGAGGTTTGTTTGTTTTTTTTTTTTTTTTTGCATTCCCTTAAATTTTGTGTCCAAGGTATGAGCTTCACTCCCCTCACCCTTGTCCTGGCCCTGGTGCTCAGAGATGGACAAGTGGGCTGGAAGGATTTGAGGGGAGCCAGTGTCAAACATATCCCCAGCTCATGCATCAGACCTAGTGTCGAGTCTTAGCTCTAGGGCTCACTAGCTGTTTGGCTTCAGACAAGTTCCTTCCCTGAGTCCCGTTTGCCTTCTGTCAAAATGAGAGTTATTGAGCAGCTACTTTATTATATGTGTGGCACTGTGCTCAGTGTCAAGGGTACTGCATTGAACAAAATAGACAGGATCCCTACCTCAAGGAACCAGAGAAAAAGTAAGTACACCATCACACAGATCAATTGCCAACTGCATATGTGCTGTGAAAGCAAATAGGCTGGTAAACTAGAATATATATGGAGAAACTGTGTAAGGTGTCATGGATGGCTGCTCAGTATATGACATTTAACCTGAGACCAGAGGATGCTTCATTCTTCTTCTGGGTAAGAGCATTCCAGAAATGTGGAGCAGCATGTTCAAAGGTCCTGGGGTATGGCAAGAACTTGGAGTGTTCTGAGAGTTGAAAAATGACTGGTGTGGCTGAAATTTAGGAAGGAAAAGGGAGATTACCACAAAGTGAAATTGGAGAAGTAGACAGGGACCAGATCATGGAGGGTAGTGGTCCATGACAAGGAGCTTATAATGTATTAATTGTTGTTAACCGTACATTGCTCACGTGGATGTTTTGAGCATTAAGTTAGTTGTATGGTAAGCATTAAGAGCCCCGGTAGGGTGGTGGTTAAGCACCTGGCTGCTAACCAAAGGTTTGGCAGTTCAAACCCACCATTCACTCTGCAGGAAGAAGATGTAGCAGTCAGCATCTGTAAAGATTACTGCTTGGAAATCGTATGGAGCAGTTCTACCCTGTCCTGCGGGGGCACTAGTAGTCAGAATCAGTGTGACATCTGTGATGGTTTTATTTTGGGTTATGTTAACCATTAGACTTACTGTCTGCCCCAGAATAACTGCTTAGTAGATGCCGCTTCCTTCCTCGGCTCCCCACACCATCACATATATACACCCTTTGTATGTGTAGGGATAAAGGAAATGTGGGGAGTTGAAAGAGTGGGAAAGAAAGGAGGCACTTGAGATAAGGAGTGTGTAAGAGGGGATGAAGGTCCCTCACTCTTATAAGAACCTGCCCTCAACAAAGCTAGATTTCTTTGCTGCTAGCAGGTTTCCAGCAAGATTTACAAGCCTGGCATTAAACTCTAAGACAGTGTGTGGCATCTAGTACTTGGGCTCAACCTCAGTTTTTAAATTTTCTCTTACAAATTTTTTTCCCAAAAAAATATTTTTATGAAAATAAGAAGCTTGACTTCTTTGCTTTTTCATATTTTTGAGGAAGACATGGCTTCTGCCATTGAATAGGGTTATGTCCCTGTTACTCTTCTCTCACACTTGCCCTTGACCCTGTAGCTTGATTATTTCACAGAAGACTGCTGTCTTTAATCTTATTTCATGGAGGAGCCAGGTATAGTTTGCATTAACTTCTGGTTCCCAGAGCTGATTGTTGGGGTTTCATTACTTAATTCCTTAAACATATTTTGGGAGCTCCTACTATTTGCCCCACCTCCCATTTGTCAGTTTTTCCTGCCATGGTGGCCTGTGTGTTGCTTTGATGCTGAAAGTTATGCCACTGATATTTCAAATACCAGCAGGATCACCCATCATGAACAGTTTTCAGTGGCACTTGCAGACTAAGACAGACTAGAAAGAATGGCTTAGCAATCTCCTTCTGGATATTAGTCAGTGAAACCCCTCTGCACCACAACAGAACACTGTCAGACTTGCTTGCTTTGCACACATCATCAAGAGGGATCATTCACTGGAGACTACATCATGTTTGGTAAGTAGCGAGCCGGTGAGGGCAAGGCAGACCTTGGTGAGATGTAGCTCAACAGCTACAACGGTGGACTAGAACTTGGCATTGATCATGAGGATGACACAGAACCAAGCAACATTTTGCTGTGTCATACACAAGGTTGTCATGAGTCGAAGTCGACCTGATGGCAGCTGTCTCACCTGTCTAACTATTTAGTAGGTCCTCTATTAGGCTGTGATGAGCAAATCATACACAGCCCTGCCCTCAAATTTGCCATCATTGTAAGACATTAACAACAATATGGAAAGAGTTTTGTGACTACACAAAGTTTGAGAATATGTTTATTAGAGGGTGTGAAGGAAGAAGACAGCCTCTTCAGCTTGTGAGGAGAAAAGCAAACTTGGATCTGCCCTTCTTTTAGGATGGCAGTGTGGTGGGTGTGGGGAATGAGTTTTTGTGTGGACTCCGGAGTCAGAAAGACCCAGGTTTGAATCCTGATGCTCTGGACACGGGCAAGCTGCTCAAATACACTGAGCTCACTACCTTCTCTGTAAGTGCGTCATGACAGACTCTGCCTTGTGAGGGTATTCTGCAAACTAGTGACAGAATGCAGGCAAAGCACCTTGCATGTAATAACCACTCAGCACATGATAGTCCTGTTGGTTACTCTTGCTGTTATAATCCTTATGATCAGTTGCCAAAGTAAGGACCTAGGATTCTAACTGGCAGAAAGTACATGAGGGGCTTTGCTGTCAAGTTGATTCTGACTTTCCATGCACTTCAGAGCAGAACTGTGCTCCATGGAGTTTTCAATGGCTGTGACTTTTCAGGTGTAGATCACCAGTCCTTTCTTCTGAGGCACCAATCTTTGGGTTAGTAGCCAAGCACTTCCCACTGTTCTGCCACTGCCTACTCCACAATCCTAAGGTCTCCACTGATCCCAAAAGTCACCTCTGTGAGGGCTGTGGGTTTCTGAGTAAAGCCGAGGTGGGAATGCTCTTGGACTAGTGGTTAGGATGCACCAGTAGAATGAGGGTGAAGGGTAAAATTGGAAGGGATGCAAATTCCAGGTGAGCAGCCTCTAAACTACTCACAGATCTATTAGCCAGCCCAGCCCAGCATCAGAGAAATCCACAGCGTGGGTGCTGAGAAGGAAGACCACATAGATCCCACAGGGACTTTTCCTCTAACTCAGCTCAGAGAAAAGATGAGTTCACCCTGTCCATTTTCCTACAGTTCATCAAATATGAGAAAGCATAATTTGAGAAAGGTCATAATTTGACTTTAGGCATGGAAAACACACAAAAAAATAACAGAATAAAATTTGAAGTACCTCATAGGACCTTTCCAGGGTTATAGCAATTGGTAACAGATGCCCCATTGGAGGCGCTCACTCAGTTATGCCAAGAGATTTGGAGGACAGCTACCTGGCCAACTGACTGGAAGAGAT